GTACTTTCTCTGAATAAACATTCCTTATCGACGGATTCGGATTTCTGACCCCTGAATTATAGGGGGTAGCCGCAATCTGGGAAAGCAGTAGTTTGGTCAGAAATCTTGACCGATAAAGTTTATTTTACTTTTTATGAATATCGCCATGTCTCGAGAAGTTTTTAAGCGAATTTAAAAAATGTTGCGAATTGAAAACTTTTTTAGGTAATTTGTATAGAAAATTCATAGTTAGAACACAATGGGCCTTATTTGCCTTTTGAAGATGCATAAAACCTTTTTATTCGTTATATTAAGTCTATAATATCGTTTAAATTTGTGTGCGAAGAAGAATAGATAAAGATGCTGAATCATTAAATTTGTCATTTACCTACGAAGTACTACTACCCTTTCAAAGAGCATATGACGTGATTATGTCATGTTTCAAATCATGAAACTCTAGATGTTAAGATTTTTGCTACAGTGTAAAGTATCTAAAATCATTAAACTACAAAAATTGAGTAATTCTTAATACATGGGTACTTAACTAATTTCAAATCGCTTAAGGTCGAGAGCTTAGGATTTTTACTGAACAGTGAAGTAGCTAAAGCTGCTGAGTTATTAAACTACAAAATGCTGCTATATAACAACAAGAAACAGATGGAAAATTTCAAATCAAGTAAAATTAAAATTTATGCCTCAGAGAAAGGTAGCTAAAGTTCTGAGACATGAAACTAAAAAAAACTTCTGCATAATACAAAATAAACTGATGTCAAATTTCAAATTGTGTAAGATCGAGTTTTTAGGATTCTCACTGCACGGTAAAGTAGCTAAAGCTTTTGAGTCCCTTAAACTAAAAATTATTGATTCATAATTTAAGAGCAAGTGAAGTCAAATTTTAAATTGCGCTTCGTTTAGCAAGATTTTTTATTGCACAGCAAAGTAGTTGAAGCTGCTAAGACATCAAACAATGAAATACTCTTACATAATACAAAATAAATTTTAAATCTTTTAAGATATTATGCTACAGAGTTAGGTAGCTAAAGCTGCTGAGACATTTAACTACAAAATAGTGCTACAAAACTCAAGAACAACTGAAGAAAAATTTCAAATCACATAAGATTGTTAAGATTTTTTGCTGCTAAGTGAAGTATCTAAAGCAACTGACTCATTAAACTACAAAATACTTCACTATAATACAAAAGAAGCTGATGTTTAATTTCAAATCATGTAAGATCGAATGCTTTTGATGAAGAGTAAAGTAGTTAAAGCAGTTGGGTCATTAAACTACTACATTTCAAATTGTGTAAGATCGATCTTTTAAATTTCATCAATATTACATTAATTTCATCAGCGTTTACAACAAGGTATTGCTCCTGAAAAAATAAAGGCCCTTTTTTGCTCACAGTAGTTATAATTTTATTTAGCCCAGTTTCATATTCATGCATTGAATATTGAATAAACTATTTTTGTATTGAATTTCAAATATATAGAGTCTAATGCATGAACAAATGTCAAGTTTTTAAATTCTAGATACAAACATACAATAAGTAAAATGTTTAAAAGAAGGCATTATTCCTTGAGAAGGTTTTTATTTTTGTTTATCTCTTTTATCTAAGTTTTTATTTTGTTAGTTTTTCTGTTTTTGTCTTTGGTTCTTTTTAAGATCTATAGATTAATACGCAAGTATATTGTGTTAAACTAAGCTTTCTATTTTACATGATGTATAAGTACATAATGTAAAATGATGTGCATTGTACATGATGTATAAGTACATCGGTGCTTAATGCTACAAGGTATTTTACAGGAAATATTGATGTTCACTTTTCACTGATACAAATAATGTACTGTTTATTCTATTTCATATCCTTAATATCGACATTGTCTGTTATTATATTGTGTTTTAGGTGTTATGCTTTTAAAATCGAGCTTTTCAAATTCTAGATGCACATCAGCGTTTACAACAAGTCATTGCTTAAGGAAAAATGAGATCAGTTTTTCGCAGATAAAAGTATCTTGTTTAATCTCAATAGTACTAACTATAAATTGAAGAGCAGTAGGGACTCAGAAGATAGAGCCCTCGCCTCCCAATGAAGTGATCCAGGTTTGAATCCCACTTAAGGCTGGTTGAGACTAATTCTGCACTGATTACAGTGCTGACGTAAAATATCCACAGTGGTAGATGGTACATGGATTAGAGTTTCCTTGCCGTCAATCTAACCGTGGTAGGTTTTGGTGTTTTTCTTCTCCATGTCATGCAAATGCGGGTTGGTTCAACAAAAAGGTCCTCTACAAAAGCAAATTTTTCCCAATACTTGACCCAGAAGTTCCTTTGTCTTCTGGACAAGAATAAATAGTTATTAGGCTATAGAGTTGAATGTTGGTGATAATAAACTCAATTTCGGCTGTTCAATGACGAGTATAAAATAAAACTTTGAATTGAATATTGTCTTTGTCTCTTTTTGCATTAAACTTCAGACACATTGATTCTAACTACAAAAGCATAAAAACCTTAGGGTGATTGCATATATCAATAATAGTAAAACTGACTTTTTTCGATGTACCTTTTCTAAGAAACTACGTATGATATCGCTTAGAATTTTGTATGCTGTGATAATGTTTTAGCGTTAAAAGGAATACTTTTGGAAGCATAAAAGATTTTTGAGGAAACTTTTTTTTAAAAAAATTAAAAGTTTTCAGTTCATATTTTTAAAAAAAATGTTTTGCCAAAGATATGTATTAGCAGTTATTACAGTGTAAGATAATATTGAAAAACTGAAGAAATATCTTGTTCAGATGCTGAGACATTGAAAAAACTCAGTTATAGCATTATTGGTATATGCTCTACCGACTTCCTTTAAACATCAAAGTTTTTTTTATTGACTAGCTTAAATCCCTGATGAATATATAATCTTTGTAATCCTTTAGATTCTCCGTAAAAAAACAGTAAGTATGATGTTACCCGTAGCACTTCGTTGCAAACACTTCGAATGCCTAACTAATACATTGAATTGAATGAATAGGACAAAAACCAATATGGATATGCTATATGAGCAGTAGGTGGGTAAAATGCTATTTGGTTCTTTATTTGCAAAAGAAAAAACAATAGAAATATTGTACTTAAACTTATAAAATTGAATGGAGGATAAAATGTAAGTTTACAAATAAAAAAAAGGAAGGGTCACATATAGTACTATTATATTACTAATATTACAAAAATTACTATTATTTGAATATTAGTAAGGAGATTTTGCCCTAAAGATAGTTGTTGATCCTAATTCTCCAACACGCTTAATGAAGAATAATTATATTATACATATAATTAAGAATATTTCTTAAAAAAAGTATTGTCTATGGCAAGGCGGGGGCAAACTGCGGCTCTTTGAAGGATTATTTGTGGCTCTCGATAAATGTACCCTAGTTCCCCTTTCATTTTTGTTCCATCATATTTTATAAAATTGTTATCGTTCCGTATGTGTTTTAAAAAGTCTTTTAAATTACTGACAACAAATGTGAAAGGCTAAGTGAAACATTGTAACAAATTTTCATTTCCGTCCAAGAATGATATGACTCATCGAAAACTGCGCGAACGAACATAAACAGTGGCGTAATCGTCCGCAATCGACCGACTCCAAACCGATTAACACGATCTATCAATAATTTTTTTTCTTCTAAAAAAATTCTAACACATTTTAAAGAATTATGAAGAGAAGTAAAATAAATGTGTTTAATTTTTAATATTTAAATTCAGTAATAATTTTTCTGCATACCTTTTAAATGCGTATTTAATTGCGGCTCGCGAAAAATTTCAAATTTTGAAAAATAGCTCGACTATCAAGGAGCTTGGCCACCCTTAGTCTATATCAAACTGCTATCGAAATGTATTTTTCAAACACACCAAAAGTCTTTATCCGTAATTATTTATTTAGAACATTAAATTTATTTTTATGCTTCTGGTTCTCTGCTCTTGTTAAAATTCAACAACAAAATATTAATTTATTAGACATGCTGTAAAAGAATTAGTAATTACTATATTGTACCAATTTTAGTTGAGTGAAGTAGTGATAAATTTAATGTTTGAAATAAATACACATCATAACTGTAAATACATATTTTATTATAAGCTCATGAAACAATTTCACTTAATTTCAAATAAATAATACAGAACAGTTAACACGTGGAAATTAATTTCAGATTGGTTTAGTAAATAAATTTTTTCAGAAAAATACACATTGAATCGCTATTTTACAATTTTTACACACAATAAATATTCCTGAACAGGAGTTCAAATGATTAAAAAAACTATTTATTAGTATGTTACGGATATAGAAAGAAGGGAAGTTAACCTAAGTTTAACTGGTTAAGTGGTGATTACCAATCACAGTCAATTAAATATCGAAGAATTTAAACTTTTCCATTTTTACTACCTAAAACAAGTAGGTCTGACAAACCATTTAAGATGTGAAACTTGTTTAAAAAACAATAAGTTTAAAAAATAATATGTTTAAAAAACAATAATGAATAAATAACTCTTCCTCTACAATGCCCCCAGGTTTCGTTCGATATTACGATTCACTACACTTTTTAAGGTTAAATGCCATCGATTTTCTGTACATATATTTTTTTAAGGTTGATGACTATTGTTCAATATGCTTTTGAACAATATAGTAAACAGATCCAGACATACTTTGGCGGAAGCATTGGAATCTTTGTTGCGCTTTAACCTACTAGGATTAATAGTCCTTAACATTAACTGGTTACACTTAGGTTTATTTGTCCTTCTTCCTTAAAAAGTAACAGAAACAGAAAATTTTATTAAAGATAATTCGCATGATAAACTTGTGATATTTATTAGTTTCTTCTGTTTCTGTAATTATAAATAACAAATAATACAATTCTCTACATTTTATATTAATCATAATATGAAATGAAATGATTTATTTTTATACGATATAAAATATCTTTGGAGATAAAATGACTAAATAGTTTCTAAAAAATATCTATTTGTATAAGTTTCCCAAAAAATGTCTAAAAAAATAGTTGTTAATAGTCGCACCCAAATGTTTTGAAACTTTAGTAAATATATTAATTTAATCCTAAAATACAATGAATCATTTGTTACAGGTATTTGATTAATCCTTTCCAAAATGCAAAGTTTAAGATGCAAAAGCATGTTCTTAACGGGAGTCGCAAAAGCCATATGTCAATAATGCTAAAACTGACCTTTTTCGATGTACATTTTTCTAAGAAACTATTTAAGATATCGCTTTGAAATTGTTTGGGAATATTTGAGATTATATCAGTTGCATGCCGTTGTAATGTTTTAGGGTTGTAAGGAATACTTTCTGAGTTATGAAAGATGTTTGAAGAAGAATTTTAAGAAATTAAAAGTTCTCAATACTTATTTTTCTTTTCAAAACATTTCTGCCAAAGATATGTATTACCAGTTATCACAGTGTAAAGATGTATAGGTAAATATGCTATGAAAAACAAATTGCAACAGTATCTTGTTTAGATGCTGAGAAAAAGTCAGCTTTTAGCATTATTGGTATATTCCGTGTCCACTATCTTTAAAATATATTAAAAAAGAAAGAATTTATTATAATTGTTATACAATAATTAAATACAAATAAGTAATGGGTGTTCTTCCAGGTGGGAAAGAAATAGAGCAGAAAATAAAACTTAGAGATTAAGTTCATTAAAACGGACAGAACTAAACCGACCTCGAAAATTGGTTGAGATAGCTTATTTAAATTAATAAATGCAGAGAGCTACCAAAATAGACATAATAACAAAAAGAATAAGAAATAAGAATAGTTCCCCTTAAGAAATCCTGAGGATTTCCCGATTTCCTATCACCAGATCCTGGTCTCACTGTGCTGAACTGCTTTTTTTTGGTGATAAAAGCCAGATTTAATGCTTTTAACAATAATAACTTAAATAACTTTTTTTGTATAAATAAATAATGTCTTTAATAAGTTAAGGCACGTAAACAATATTATAACGTTGAATCTGTGATGTTTAACCATATTGTGCTGGTGCTTGGTGTCCTTTGTCGTCTCCAAACTTGACGCCTTTTTCCAGCATGACACCAAACATGAGTTTGCCATTCAAGTTCACTTTTGGTCTCCTTATTACAGGCGATAATATAGATGAAATTATTCCTAAGGGACTGTGCATTCCACCCAGAAGTCCCCCAGCATGTTCATTATTGCCATTACCAAGGCTTAACTTAATGCCCAAAGGTTCGTATTGTCCTGACCTGTCGACACCTATGGCTGGATTCTGCGGTTGCGCGTAGTTTCCACCTTGTGTCTGGTGCTGAGAATAAGATCCAGCTTGTTGTGGATGGTTATTTAGCCCCTTTTGTTGAGGATAGTTTACCACTTGTTGAGGATAGTTAGCTACTTGCTGAACTGGGGGAGGTACTTGTTGAGGTCTTTGGTAAGTATGTTGTGCTACTTGGTTGCTTTGAGCATTTGGGTAGACTTGGGGCACATTTTGATAGGTTTGTTGAGGAGAGTTGATATTCTGTTGGATGTAACTTTGTTCTGGAGAAAGATAGTTTGGTGCTTGGGAAGATGCCCTGTTGAAGTCTGCATAGTTTAATCCAATGTTTGAGCTCTCCGTCCTGGGCTGGCTTTGTTGGAAGCTTTGATGTAGATTACCGGAAGTAAAATTTTGTGAAATTAAACGCATGGATTCTTTCAGAATATCTGCTTGATTAGTAGTTTTTTGCAGATTTTCGCCAACTTGCACTGTTTGTTTCAAATTATCTTTTGAATTCAAAATGTCCTGGTACTTCCTCAGTTCTTCTTCATAATCGTAGTCCATTTCCGTTTTTTGTGGAGGAAGTTTTGACAGAAAATTTAAACCGGATGCTCCCAAATGCATATCATTCATTTTTTCAGTAGTATCTGCAAAATATAAGTGATTTAATAAAATTTTTAAAGTATTTGAAATCATAAATTAATACAATTTTGAGGTTTTTCATAGGCTTTCTTAAATGGAAGTAAATGATAAAAATTTTATTTATTGTTATTTTTACTTTGTCTTGGCTAAATCTAAATACTCACGATAATAAAATAAAGTAATTTAACTTGCATGAGCGATATGAAGATTCTGTAAAATTCCCATTTTAGCTAACAGCATGGAGCTATGGGTAAACATATACTTGTATCGATCATTTATTTTTTTAAGGGTTTTTTTTTTAGAAATGAAACTAACTCAAATTTGTGTTGCAGAAAGTTGAAACCTAATTCCACTTTTTTTGTTATAGCAACAAAATAGAAGCGGACTCTTATACTTCATATGGTATAATTGAATCCTATCCGTTACGAACTATTCGCTTTTAAATAACAGCATTTATCTGTAATTTATGCATTTTTGGGTGTCTTTACGCTATACAAAAAGATTTAAGAGGGAATAAGATTAATTGAAGACATTTTAAAAGTGTTTGAAAATAAATTTAATTTATGAAGTTCGGGTGATAAAGGAATTAATTTTTTTAAGTCGTCAAGTGATTAATAAAACTATTGCCTTCTCTTCAAATCCCATTACTGATATAGTTGAAAAGCTTGATTAACTTAGTAATTTCTGGCATTTAATTACAAACATTCTAAAAGCACTTTAATAAAATATACTTAATTTCCTATTCCGGCTAAAAATGTCGTCACTTTTGTTACCCATGATTGATATGCTTTAAGCAAAATGTTGCTTAGATGATTTCAAATTATATTTACATTTTGAAAAAGGCATAAATTTCCATATGGTATTAGTAAATATTTAGGTAAATGTTAAAAACAACAAGATATTGCAAACAAAAAATATAAAAATATTTACAGACCTTCTTCTCCAGGCATTGGAGCAAAAACTACAAATTGAGGTGTTCCAGGCTTTGCTCCCTTACTTACAGAAAGAATCTTTTTAAGGACATCATCGGGTACGGTTGATGGAGTGTCTGGTCCCGCAGTACTAACTTCTGTTTTGGGTTTTGGTGAGGGCACAAAATGCACGATGTACAATGGATCCTTCTCTGTTGTGTCGTCAAACTGACTTTGCGGGTGATGGTTTTGATTAGCGTCGAATCTTGATAACTCTGAATCATGGTTATCTTGACTGTTTGCTGTTGGGTAACGACTATATGCCATCTCATGACGGTTTTCCATTATTTGAAAAATGTCTTCTTCTTGAGATGTTGTACTCGTCTAAAAAATATTTAGTAAACAGTATGAGCTTAAAATTAAAACTAAGAAAACTGAAATGAACATCATTGCTGAAGTTCTAATATGGAGGAAAAATTGCCTGATAAAATTACCGGACTGTATAATAATAAAATTTCTGGTAAAAAAAAACGTAATTATGGTTAATAAAATCAAAATATACGGGATTTAAAATAATCATTTGGTAAGTTATTCTGTTGATATGGTAATGATTTACCGAAAATTCAGGTTTACAAAATTATTGTTCTTCTTGCCACACATTTAGTAAAAAAAAAAATACAAAACTGAAAAGCAAATTTAATCGAATAAATGGTATCAACCATTTGACGCAGATGGGACACCGGTGCACCTTCTATATATTTTTTTCTGATGCTCTATTTACAAGCGAAATTATATTTCGGTGTTTTTAAATTATAAAAAATAGTCTGATAGTTATTAAAAAACTACCAGAATATCGGAATTATATTTGTACCAAAATATAAAATTAAAAAAAAAGTAGTTTGACATTTCTTCATTCATATTCAAAAATTTATCAAACATTGATTTTGTAAATTAAAGAGATTTCAGTGATGAATAACTGTGTTTCAAATCTAAATAATTATCTCTTAGATCTAAATAAAATGATCTTAGCAAAAAATAGCGAATTTGAAAAATTATTAGAATTGTTGAAAATTTATTAAAAAATTAAAAGCCGTGTTATCGCAGTGTTTCATGCTCTTATCATAACCATAAATTATCAAAATGCAAAATATAATATTTTTCACATAGTTTGACCTAAATCAATACAAAATAACGTAAAAGTATAAAAAAATAAGCTTAATAGAAATTCTGCGTTAGTACTCTAAGATATCACGATAAAATTACCACATTCACCAATTTTATCGCATATTAAATAATATATTTTTTTTAATTTCACCAAAATCATTACCAGGGCGCTTCGATAAACAACCGAGTTTTTCTGATATTCCCGCAAGGGATCATGAGTTCGATCCCTGTCGGCCGAAGACACCTCGTGTAATAATCTAGTGTACGTTAAATCTGTCGGGTCTCAAAGTCCTCCATGTTCCCATAACAAATCATACCTCTGTGAGTACTGAATTGGAGATTGATTATTCTCCGTTTCAGGTCAGAATGACGTTGAATGAATGGATATGTGAATCGGCCCACCCTATAAATGAGTATCGACGTACGTGTGACTGAAGTCGTATTTTTGGCCAAAGATGGCGCCACTGAAAAACAAGAAAACGTTTCCTCTCCCTTGAATTCATTTGGTTTTCGCCAAGAAGGCTTGCTGGTATTGATAAGTGGTATTAGAAATGACAACAACAGATTTCTTTTTAAAAGAGAAGAAAAGAAACTTGAATTAAACTCATTAACAAACATGTGCTTTTCAGTAGGTCATGTTTCATCTCTGTAGTTACATTTCAGTGGTAAATAGAGTGGTATTTTTAATGACAAGTTTAGCTGTTGTTATTTCTCGAATGAATAACCGAATATTTAATTTTATTATTTCATCGCACACCCCATATATTTTTCTACACTGTAATTTTAAATTTTAAGTCTTCTATTTTTTTATGCAGCAAAACAAATTGTAACGTAACGAAGAGCATCCAAAACAACAGGGGAGGCGCTTGCAGTTTTTGATATAGAGGGATTAGCAGAATTTTGGACCTACAGATTTAATTTCGAATTCAATTGGGTAAAAATTAAAACGTAATAGTTTTATTAAGTTACGATTGCAATTTCATGCACAGACATTCAAAAAAAAATCTTTTTCTGTGTTTGGTTTCTTTAAAAAAACTAGTTAAATATTTTTTGCCTTAGGGAACTTTCATCAATTACCTGAAAAGTTGATTCTCAATGTAGCCTCAGAATTTCAAATAGTTATTTTGTACTCATTATTTTAGTTACTATGTTGACTGAGAATAATTTTAAATGAAACTTATAATTAAAGCAAATATCACTGACATTAAATAAAAGTAAATTTGATGTTTAATAATCATAAAATTGCCTCTAACTATCTTTATCTGATAATGTTGCCTAATTAGGGCATATTCCTTTTGTAATAAATAAACAACACTTTTAGCAGTATGTGTTTAGTCTTGAATATAATTCAAAATCGAAAATGTGATGAGCGACTAATGTTAAAAAAAAGAGATAATGAATAAATATTACGGATTAATAAGATTCAAAAAGTGATAAATAAATTATTTACTGGTACATATCAAGATAATTTTTATTAATTTTAAGCTAATAATAGCTGAAAATGATTGGGTTTTTTTGTAGATAAAATAAAAAATAAATTTGCAGATATAATGGGATTTTTTTACGAATCCAGGAAAGGTAAGCTGACTGTTAAATATCTTTTCATGATATTAATGATTTGGTGTTGAAATTGCAATCGCTTGTAAAACATATGACGACAATTTAAACTTTTTTTTATAAGTTGATAGATACAAGTGCAAGTCTGGAATAACAAATTGCAATGCATGATGATTTAATATACCTAATAAATGTGAGAAAAAGTCGATAACATTTTATAAGTATTTTTTTAGTTTAATTGAGGTTTCTAAAATCGTTATTTTGTCCAAAAAAAATAGCTTGCCTCCAAAGCTTAATGTTCCTTTAAAAATGCTAAAAAATTCCTTCATAGAGGAATTACGCAAATTGTTATGAGTTTTTAATGGTTGCTGATAACCAAGCGTATCGTAATAAACAGTTTTCTTGATATTATATTAATAATTGCTACTATTGCTGCAACGAGAAGGTAATGCTTTTCTTGATAGGAAAGTCTGATTTAAAAAAAGAAAAACCTTTACTGCTATTATTTGGGCAGAAATGTTTCTAAACATATTCTCAATCTCAAAGGATTTTATAATTACTATCAACTCAAACAAAATTACTCATTTCTTTTTTTTTCTTTGGCAATTTACAAATATTTTAGGCTCTTAAAACTCCATTTAAGTTATTGGTAAGCAAAACCAGAGTTATTGGTAAGTTTCTTAAATTGAGCACACGCAAGTAGGAAAAAAAAACTTGCGTTGGATTATTTGCGCAATTTAATGAATATTTGTTTACAACTACTGGTGTTCAAAATTAAGAGAATTTGAATATTTTGTTGTACTGCCTGAAAACAATTTAGTGAAATATAACAATGATGTAAATCTTGTGTGTCGATGTGTTGTGTGGGCGGATGTAATAGAAGAATAGACTTTATAAGCACACTTGTCAAAATCTGCATTTCGTTCGTTGGCACATTTTGCCAAATTTCTTCCTTTTTCTACAGCAATCTTAACCAGTTTTTTAAAATTTTATTTCAGACAACGAAAATCAGAGACCATCAATGTTTAGATGATGGTCATCAATAAGGTGGCGAATTGTGAGGACTTGAAGCAGGCCAATCTAAGTCCAGATTTTATTTCATTTTACAACCGTCGTTGAACCGCAGAACCAATTTTGAGTTTACGACTACCAATGTTCAACTCCGTAGCCTTGTATATTCTAAACCAATCCAGAAAACAAGGTAACTACTGGATCCAGTATTGGGAGAAATTTGCTTTCATGGAACTAACTCGTTACATGGAGAGGAAAAGCACGAAAACTTCCCACGGTTAGCCTGACACCACGAGGATTCTCACCCATGATCCATCTACCGCTGAGGATATTTTATGCCAGCACTGTGGTCAGCGCGAGTCGGGTGTGTAATTCAAATCAATCATTTATCACTGCGATACGAATACGGTTCACCCCTTCAGAAGCGAGTGCTCTATCCCCTAAGCCACCACGACTTTCAAATCTAGATTTGTACTGAACTCAATTTATGGAGACAGTTTCAGTATTCCGAATCTGTCGAGAGAAAGCATGGCCAAGGTTAGCCACGAGCTACAATTACCAATGAGGATCGGTGCTTGTTGATTACAGCGAGGTGTAACAGGAATATACAGCTTCCCAGCTCTCTTGTGACCTCTATGAAGATAAGGGAAGAGCGGAGTTTTGTGGGTAACTTTTTTCAGTCTTCATGTGAAAGGGCTATTTGCACGATGACCTTCTGTTTGCATTTCGCTGACTTTACAAGGATCCGTTTAGGATGGTACAGAGATCATAGAGATTAGAGCATGGATCAGTGGTCAAATGATCTCTTCCCTGATGAGTACCACTTCAATCTGACTACAGACTCTCGATGTACTTTCATACGGAGAGAACCATCTCCCTGTTATCTAATTTCCGGGAAATTGACCATTATGCCGGTCGATGCTTGCTGGTCTGGACATGAACAGAAGTCGTTTCAACTCAGAGTGCCCAGTGGGTCACTTTTGGTAAGCAGAACTGGCAAGCATAATTTAGATTCCCGCACACGTCTTCATGTTTTTGAAATAGGCACTGTGACTGGTGTGAGATCTAAGGAAAATGAATTAAAGCGCTATATTCGCTTTTTCACAGTTGCAGTAAGTCCTGATTTCATTTTAATTGATGGCAAAAGGACAGCAGACATTGCACTTATGGTTGACGACTTTCTGGAAAATGTAAATGTTCACCGATTGGATTGGCCAGCCAGAACTCCAGAACTCAACCCTATGGAGCATATCTTAAGACGCTCTGAGAAGGGCATTTGAAATAGTAACTTCCTCCGAAAACCGAACAGTGTCTGAAAACAGCATTGCTGAACAAGTGGGATAAACTGATACATGAACTAGTTAACTATCTTATCTTCAGTATGGGTCATATCCGCCCCCCCCGACGGGGCTATACACCCTATTATGCAATTTTTTTATTCAATTCTAAAACCATTTTATAATACATACTACTCCCGCGAGTGTTGATCATGCATGATCATGCGTGTATATTGCAAGGGTGATTGTGAGCCCAAGTCAAAATTCCGGAAAATTTCTTGAGTAAAAAAAAAAAAAAGTTTAAATCGAAAAATCAGAAAAAAAATTTAAGCAAGGTTTATTCCTTTTTCTCAATGTTTCTTAATTTACTTAAAA